TATTTTGTTGATTTATGCCTTTTGTATTTAAAAATTTAGTACTTATTTTACATACACACATAGAAACATAAAACCCTAGTATTTACGAGTTAGCCATAAAAGTAAGAAGAGAAATAGATTTCAACCTGTGATAAATACGGTGATTTGACTAAATGTGTCGGCATAAAAATAAAGTCGTAAAGAAATCCATGCTGTCTTGGTGACCAGCAAATATAAGAAGACTAAGAGCTTACTTTTGGTTTTGACATTTCTTTAAAGAGTGTTCAAATTTAAAAAGGGTGGTTGCACAGCGAACAGTATAGGAGCAGGAAATATAATATTGATATATATATATTTGAGGAATTCATCATATTTTAAATAAAAATAGAAAGTATATATATGTAAAATTATCAGAGTGACGAGCTGAGTCGATTAAGTTATGTTTGTCTATTTGTTTGTATATACGCAAACTATTCTCTCAGTTTTTAAGATATCGATCTGCAACTCCGCACACGCCTTATTTTCCCCAAGAAACTGCTCATTTGCTGGAACCGCCGATATCGAACCATTATAGCATAACGCTGTCATACAAACTGAACGATCGGAATTAACTGCTTATATGGAAAACTTTTGTATTTGAAGAGATATCTAATATTTATTATTAATTGTACTTTAAAGAAAAATAACATTATTAAAAAAAAAAACTATTAAAAATAAAACCTAATTAAACACCCTATATTCCACCTAATATGAATATATATAACAATAAAAAATAATAATAATTCTAACGAATGACGATGATTATTCCGTTTACTTAATCTAGCACTGTTTGGTCAAAGCAATTCGAGTTGCCACCCGCGCAGTTAACATATTTTATTGACGCAATCCGTTGAAAATATGCTACCCTAGTAAGTCGTAAAATGCAAATAAAATCAGAAAAAAATACAGAAAGGATATTGTGAGAATATGTAGCGAAGAATAGTATTAAAAAAAGTTATTCATCAAATAAGAAAATTTGATAAAAAAAACTTTTACGGGTAGGATAGTATTATTTACTTACTTATTTTTTTAAAAAGTATGCTTATATTAACGGTATTATATGGTTAACAGTAAAATGAGGAACACAAATAATTTAATAGAGCGGAAATTTTTATGATTTAGTAATTTTGTGGTAGTAACCGCAGTTTTATAATTTCTATATTTGTTTTCCAGAATTGAAATAAAAACAAGAAAAGACGATAACTTCGGCTGCACAGAAGCTATAATACCCTTGACAGGTGCATTTTTTATAGCATAACGGAGTTCGAACGGTCAATTTATATGGCAGCTATATGCTATAGTGGTCCGATCTGAGTAATTTCTTTGGAGATTTCATAGTTGTTTTAGAAAATAGTCTATGCAAAATTTTTTGAAGATATCTTGTCAAATGGCACATTCTAAACAGGAAGCCCTCGTAGTAACCCAACATCTAGGAAAGAGCGAGAAAGTCATCGATTGCCCTGTATTGCCGCAAGGGACATATTCGTAAAAGGTGGAGACTCTTACCGAAGGTTGTTCTTTGGCACTATGAAATCATAGTTAAGCCTATAATGTTCTACGTAAATTTTGAATGGTGGAAGGCTCTCAACAGCATTTGTAGGTCACTATGAAAGCTGGCCTCGTACTCAGAGAATCAGGGTACTTTGATGAATGCGAGCCAGGACACTGTGGAATGCTCCCACACATTGATTTATATTTAAAATACCCTGGCTGTCATTTTAATCGTATAATATTATATATGAAACTGAAAGAGCTCAAGAGTTTTGGATTATCTCAACTTTTTCTTTGATCTTAGTTATTTCTTCATAGTATACCTAAAATACAAAATTTTTTTTCATATTGTTCCGAATTGTTCCAAGTTTTTCAAAAAACAATTCTGATTTTGTTACACCTCTTAATCCTATGTATCCCCTCGAGGTCTTTATAGCTTTATTTTGAATGTAAAAAAAAAATATATTTTGTCGAACGTATAGAAGAAACTTTGTTAGATCTATCATTTTAGAAGCTTTAAAGGTAGGTGAAGCTTCTTCCATAATTTTTTTGTTTTTGTTTACCAATTTGCATTACGAAAATAATTTTTGATTTACCAACTATTTTCCTACTAACTGTAAGCACAACTTCATCATAACCTCAAAATTGTTGCACAAATTGAAATGCAACACATAGCTGTTTCACTAACAACATAACATTGCTTGCCTCACACCAACAAGATAATGCACAATATTTATTTCAGAAAAACTAACTGGACTCACGCAGTTGCTGCGTTTTTTTTTCGTTTTGTGTAGGCATATATATATATATATATATATATATTAATTTTGTATACCCTGAACAAGGTATATTAAATGTGTTACGAGGTTTTAAACAACCAAAAGGAAACGTCGGGGATACTACAAGTATAAGATATACATATATTATATTATATATAACGATCAAAATTATGTCCTTGTATAGAAAACTTTTTTATTTGACAAAATTTGGAATAGATTATTATCTACAGCATTGCTATAAGATCCGAAGAAATTGTTAAGATCGAATTACTATAACTTATAGCTGCCATATAAACTGAACGATCAAAATCACGTTTTTGTATGAACAACTTTTTTATTTGGCAAGATATCTTTACAAAACTGGGTATAAATTATTTTCCGAGGTAAAAACATAATCTCCAAAGAAATTGTTCAGATCGAACAACTATAACATATAGCTGTCATACAAACTGATCGAACGATCGAGCTCTTGCATGGAATCTTTTGTATTTGTCAAGTGTATTCTAGCTTCCATGCAACCAAAGCTAACGAACTTTCTTGTTTTATATTAACTTCTTTATGTTTTTTTTATTCATTCTGAGTTCTCTGTGTTTCTGCTCTTGTTAAATTTTTTGAATTTTTGGTGCTATACAATTCTACACGCCACAAATGAATTTTCCACACACGCACACAGCTGAATTCACACATACGTATCAAAACAAACCGAAAAACCAAAAAAGCAAAGCAACAACAATAATTTGGTCAACATTTACCATTCATTCAATTCGTAACCAGAAGTTCAAATTTTAATTGGCCTTTGAGTGGGTGCACATTGCTTGCAACAAGCTGTCAACAGCACACACACAACTATTTATGCATATATGCCGCATGGCGTTTGTTTGTGTGCCGGTGTGATTTAGTTAGCCCTGTGGTTGGCTCATTGCCCCGACGACTGTTTGCCGCTGGCGGCTAAGTGCCAGAAAATACGAGCGCAATAAAATGGAAAACAAAGCAAACGTAGCCGTAGCCATAACCATAGTCTTAGCCGTAGCTGTAGCTGTAGGTATAGCTGTAGTAGTAGCTCCTGCAGTCGCCTAGAGAGGCATGGCCAAAGACAAATGACAGCCGACTGCTGGCTGCTGTTGTGTTCTACTCAACCCGAAATTGAGAAATTATTATATTGTGTTTTAAACAAATTTTCATATAAGCAATGTTGTCGTAAGCGCACAAATACAATTTACAACAACAACTACACACACACATGCGCATGCAGAAAGCAACTGCGAGTGGGTAGGTCAGGGCACAGCATGTTGTCCACTTCAGGCCGAAGGCAGCATGTCAATCGTTATTTTTCGAGAGGAGGCACTTGCCGAACATTTGTGGCATGTGTGTAAACATGCAACATGCAGCACACACATATATGCATATAATACACACATACATATGTATATTGCAGCAAGCGCTGCACGTCTTCATAGACCAAGCAGTGGGCGCAACCTTCGATATCTCTGACCTCTCAGCAGTTTTCGGCTTTTGACTTCAAATTTACAGTGCTGATTTTTGTTGTATTTTATTGTTGTACTGCGTTACTGCTTGCCTTATTCTTTCACCGTGTAGGTGTATATTTGTATGTATGTATTTCTCGAATTTAATTTCATATTTATTTAGAAAATTGCTGCTGTGGAAAAATAATAAATAAATTTGAGAATTTTGGCTCGTTTGCAGACATCTAACATTATGTGAGCAGATACACACATAAACAATAAAGTTCATATTTCCTCAGTTTTCAAGCTAGTTTTTAATTTAGCTGCACATTTTCGAGTTGTTAATTAAAATGCACTCTACTCTCTACTCATTTTGTGCACTATGCTGGTGGGAAACCAAAAAAGTAGGCCAATAATCACAGGCCAGAGATGTGCAGTTATTCTCACAATTGCAAACTCAGCAACTTCATAGAAGTATAATATTTATTTTTAATAAAAATATGGTTTCACAAATATCAGTTTGAGATAAGTTAAAACATTGCTTGTTAGCTTGCAACTTAGTGTTAAAATGAGCATAAAGCAAAATATGTTGCCTACATTTTAGCGCTATTACGCAAAATATTGCCTACCTTTAGGCTTCTGATATACAAGTGACTTAGAAATTGAGTTAACAGTAACCAGCTCCTTCAACAGATTATGCCGTCCCGTCAAGCACTAAGTACAGTCATTATATACTTGATATGACTATCTAGTTCTAACTTGTTACCGTTTCTGATTTGATTTTCTAAGAAATCCCTACCAATTCCATGATACAATTTTACATGTTCCCCGTCATATTCTCAGCTAAATTGCCTTGATCCAGATGTATTTTATAAATCTTTTTTTGCAATATTTACAAAATTTATATTCCTCGGTTTTCCTGTACTAACTAACACTTGATAAAACGGAGATTAATATAGACATCCAGATACAAAATCATCTTATAGGAGATCAGATATCGATTTAGCTTGGCGCAAATATATTCGAACTTTTGCTCTTGGTTTTTACACATATCCGATTAAAGAAAGATCACCATGCTTGGAGCCTCCTTTGAATGGCTGATATTTCCTGGGAATACTCATAGAGGTTGGAGATTTCTATCGAAGAGTCAACAAATACAAAAAATACTTGTATAGTGGGAACGCACTCAGTACAGACGTTTGCGAGGCGCGCTATATTATCAACGGACGACAGTTTACTCAAAGTGGGATAGATTTTTGGCTATAAATATTCTTAAAGACAAGATTTCACTATTTTAAACTTAAAAACAACTTGAATATATTTTCTTAAATTAAACTTTCATTACAGCTAGTATTTACAATGTACAATTTAAGTAAAACTCCCTCAGTATACTTTTCCGCTACGTTTATCAATGTCCACCAGCTGCTCATCAATCCACGGTCTTAACGCGGACACTTTCGCATAGACGCCCGGATATTCCTTTTGTGCGCAACCAACACCCCACGAAACAATGCCGTACAGTGTGGCCACACGGCGATTGTAAGTGACTAACGGACCGCCCGAATCGCCCTGACACGAGTCCTTACCACCGTTACTATAGCCGGCACAGAACATTTCCGCCGTTATAGGCACCACATATTTATAATTCTGCACACAAGTCTCCTGCCCGATCAATTTTACATCCACGTAATTCAACATGGCCGACACATAGCCCGTCTCGCTGGTGAGACCCCAACCGCTAACGAAGAGCTTCGCTTGTGCAGACAACACCGCATTCGGCGCGGCCAATTCGACGGGTTGCACCGTTTGTGTATAAACGAGTTCGCGTTCAAGCTGCAACAGCGCCACATCCAGATTATACGTGGTCGAGGAGTAACCCTCATGACGTAGTATACGTTGCACCGCACGCAATTGACCGCCATAAGCGTGTTGCGAAGAGCCGGCGCGCACCGTAAATGCACTCACCTTCATGGTATTGTCAACGCAATGTGCTGCAGTGATGACAATATTCGGTCGTACGATGGCGCCGCCACAGATATGCTGGGCCCGGTACTGCAGCGATACCTGATAGGGGAAATTCCGTATGGATGTGGGCAAGCCACCGATGATGCGTCCATCATAGTTGTACCAGTCGTCGTCGTCCTCGTCGTCAACCTCAGCGGTTTTAGTGGCGTTGGAGTTGCTAATACCTGCTGCCGCCACTTCTGTGGAAAGCTCAGCAATTGCGGCGCTAACGGGCGTCGCATCGCTGACGTAGTGGTTGAGCCACAAGCTGAATATCAAGAGCGTACAAATGATGCGCATTGTCTACAAATAAGTAGTTTGTTTGTTGGATACGAAGTAAATGATAACACTTTGGTGGAAATCTTCACTTTTTATACTCACTCATAGTTCACACGCCTTCATTTCGCTGTGCGTATCAGAGCTTATCTCAGCCAAGCTGCTTATCGCGGCGTGACGCCCACACGCCATGGCATGACTATAACAAAACAAAACACAGATAAAATTCGCCGAAAACTAAAGCGTTGCCGCTGCGTGTCAAAAAACTTACGTGAAGGCTGCTTTCTTATCTTTTTACGACTTTCTTTTGTTTACCGTTATATTTTGCTGTTGATTTTTTATCACTCACTATTTACCAGGCGGCAACCTCTAGTTTTGTTTACTGTTATTTACTAGTTACTCACTATTTTTTGCACATTTTTAATGCACAGCAAATATTTGGCAAGCGATTTTTTCACTTTCATAAAAAATTTCTTTTGAGAATAAGGTTCTTTATTTTAACTTCGCTATAAAATTTTATTATTTATTATTTTTGCACGTCGTTTAAGCACATCGACCGTGAATTCGTACGCGGAGTTCAGGTTGTGTTGAATAACCTTTAGGTTTCTGTTTTTAGATTTGCACGGTAATTTCGAAATATGAGTGCAATATCATGTAATAGCTTCAAGATCGCGTCCTTACAGTCTTATATAATTCATAACCCAATAAACTAGTTTCAATTGCTTATGTAATTTTACATTACTTAATATATAATCGCAGCCAAAAGAAGCAAATTAACACTCACAAAGAGGATCGTTGGCGCTCATTACATAAAGCCAAAAAACAAAAAAAAAAACAAGAAAAATCATTAACTTCGGCCGCACCGAAGCTATAAGACCCTTTATAGGCTCAATTTTTCTAACAAGAACTTGATTTCAATCAGTCAGCTACCTGCTATAGTAGTCCGATATAGCCGGTTTCGACAAAAGTCTAAGTTGAATGAAAATTTATTTATTTCTTTCTTCTACCTTTTTTAATAAAAGGGAATGTTATTTGAATAAACAGATATACGTATGTACATATACATATATATATATTATCATATACATATATGTCTATACTGCTATATATGGGCCGCAACTTGAACAACTGTATCAATTACGTATATTGAAGAAGACATTTTAATTACACACCAAATTCTGATTACACTATACATATTGTATTTGTCTCCAGAAATATCATGCACAGATAAACAAAACAAGCTTGGACCTATAAATAAATTGTTGTTGCTGTTGTAGCAAATAACTAAAGGTGGCAGCATAATATTTTACACGCCTTCATTTGTATTCATATGCTGGAAATATCTTAATTGTATTTATAATCTCAGCAACAAATCTTAAATTGCTTTACGTATGTGAAAATATATATGTTTTACATATAAATAGATATACAAATATATATATGTATATGTATATATACAAATCTATATATGTACATGATAAGCATACGTCCAACAATCACTCTGCAAACGATTAATGAAATGATGCAGCATTATACAAAGATATGCTATGTTAAAAAAAAGCATGTATGAATTGGCACACAACAACAATAACAAACTATTTCCACTAAAAAATACATAAATGCAACGTCAGCAAATAAATAGGTGTGTTTTAATAAATAAAAGTGTGTGCATTGCCGGCTATCAAGCATCTGCTCCTACAAGGCGTATGAGTAACCTGAATGAAATTCCGCATGGTAATGCGTAGAACAAAACAACAATTACTTTTGCTATTTGAGTCCAGTACAAAACAATTACAAGATATCAAGATTGTTGCAAATGCATGCAACAAAATAGGTGAGTGGAAGGAAACTTTTAGGAGATTAAGAAATTGCTTAAGCAACGAATGAGGCAAGTGAAGTGAATAAATGTGTTTAATTATTTTTGTAGTGAAGAAAAACTTGTAGCCATTCGTGGTTAAGATACATATATTTTTAATTCAAATGATAACAATATTTTTTTCAAAATATCGGATATTACTGTTCCATTTTTCTATTACTTATACATTCAAAAGGTGAGCTTTTTCACTTGCGAGCTTTAAAGCTACAAAATTTATTAATATTTTGAAGCTTTTAAGCTCTGAACTCTTTATTACTACAACAACAATATTTATATTAGTTTTTACAAATTTTAAGAAGTTCTCAAAATGAAACTTGAAATAGTAGCAAGCAGGTATATACCAAGTGGCGCGTTTTCGAGAAACTAGCAACTAGTTTACTGATTGTTACTTATGTAATTATTTCTCACTTGAGATCGTTATAGGTTTTGAGCTTTCGAAATTTCAGATTTTTGTGCTCTAAATCTTTCCAAATTTTGGATTTTTGTGCTTATCAACTTTCGAAAGCTTGTTTCAGTGAGCTTTGAAATTTTTGAGAATTACTTACATATACTATTATTTCTCATTTGAGTTTGTTAAAGCTTTATAGCTCTTTAAGCTTTTGAAATATTGGTTTTTTCAGCTTCCAGGCTTTCGTAATTTCGGATTTTTGTGTTTAACAGCTTTTGAAGGTTTGTTTCTGTGAGCTTTAAAATTTTTTGAGTTATTTATAAAATTATATATCAATTTAGAGCTTCAAAGCTTTTGAGCCGTTGAGCTTTCAAAATTTTGGACTTTTGAGCTTATCAGCTTTCGAAAGTATGTTTCTGTGAGCTTTACAATTTTTTTAATTTACTTATAAAATTATATCTCACTTTAGATCGTTAAAGCTTTTGAGACTTTAAGCTTTCGAAGTTTTAAACTTTTTGGCTTATCAGCTTTCGAAATTTCTTACTTTCGAAGTTTTGGTTCAGTAAGCTTTAACTAATCGAAAGTTTAAGCCTTTAAGCTTTCATCCATAGAAAACTATATTAGGAACAAAAAATTTCCATAAATAAAAAATCTCACTGCATAGTAAATAACTATATATATACATATGTGGAAATGAAATATATTTTCGAAAAGTTTTTGCGATTAGTTGGAACTGCCACCATCACCACAAAAAAACTAAAGTAACTATCATATGTGGATAAATATCTAAACAAACTATATAAAAGTTGTCTCCTTGTATACACAAATTTAAGGAGAAAGCGTCAAAGTCGAGTTGTTTTTGTACAAATGATATAGATTTGATCATTCAGCCACCAAAGCAAATGCTTTTATATCTGGAAATAGTCAATATTTTTATGCGAAACATTGATCGAATCTCGTCTCTTTCAGTTAGCTTTTTTGCCATAAAGAGTAAGGGTATGTTTGAATGTAAATGGAAAACAATGCGATAAAGAGTTTCAACTACTTTCTTTGGGTTTTTTACAAGCAGCAGTTGTGCACATATTTTGTGAAGTCAAGCAAAAGTTTTTCTGTTTACCCAAAGTCACATTTGTTTTCATAAACCGATAAATGTGATGTTAGAAAATAAAAATATTAAACTAAATTTTAGAGAAAGTATATATATAAAAGATGTCATAGATTTGTGTATTTATACAGTGTGGCGCTTCTTTCGATAATACTTCTCTTCTCGCTGGATAGATGTCGCTTTTAATCAAGTTTCATTCTTCAACTTGCTGGACTTTTCTTTTTCACAAAGTTGAGTATTATGAGATTTGGAGCGAATTGTGGAATACTTACAAAAAAATTCAAAATTAACCGGTTGAAAAAATTTCGAAAAATACTACTGAAGCAAATTATTCTTTTGGTATAAAGTAACGGTTTATTAAAAGCTTTTGAGCAACTTGTCGTACGCTCTTGGTAACAAACTATTCACTTCAAGCCCGCTTGAAGTAAAATATTTAAGAAATTTATATTAAAAACAAATAGTTTTTGGTGCAGACATTGCCAGTTAAAAATTTGACACCCCCTTTTACTACTTCTCCGCCTTTTTTTTTAGCAGCTATGATGCTTGCACTCACTCTTGCTGAGATATATTATATTTGCGAGTAGGTCCAAGGTGTGGCATGCAGTTCACTTGTATACCTCTCTAAACACACGCAGACAGTCTCTCGATCGTTATTGTGTTGTTGTACCGTTGTTTTAGCGGCACTTCCGGCAAACTTCTTGTTTACATGCTACTTCAAGCTTAGAAGTACTTATTATTTATTTATGCTGCGCTTTTAAAACGAAAACAAACACAAACACAGACAGAAATATACACAAACACCTACGTATATATGTATGAGTGCTCACAACAAGCTGCATGCACTTTTGTGTTGTCCTTGTTGTTTTTGTTGCCGTTGTTGTTGTTTGTTAAGCTTTCTCAGATGCTCTTGTTGGTGTTGTCGCATGTCACCTGAGGAGTCTTTACTTGTCGCTGCCCTTTTTAGCAACTAATACCCTGAAATGATGCACTAAATGCGCACTTCATGCATAAATACATTTATATGTGTGTATGTATGAGTGTATGTGTAAATTTACACGCATATGTATGTGTGCCTTTATATAAGTAAGTGCACTCATAGATCTTTGCCATTTGTAACTCATAAATCTAACATCCACGGTGGTATTGACAGGGAAGCCCTTACAGTACGACACAGTGGTGCAAATATGACTAAAAATTTATTATAATTTGTTTATACATATGTCAAAAATATAATTTTTTTGATAGCTTTTTGCCTTCGGCCATAGCAGCGCTGGAAGTATTTTCTATTTCTTACTGAACTGAAAGATATTTTTTAATTTAGGAAATTAACCGATATGGTGGTTCGATCTGAACAACTTATTTACAAATTATAGAGTTACCTTAAGCAATAATATGTGCCAAATTTTGTGAATATATCTTGTCAAATAAAAAAAAATTTCATTCAGAGCTTGATTTTGTTCTATCAGTTTTTATGGCTCTTGGACAGCAATAATTGCCAACTTTCGTGTAGATATCTTGACAAATAAAAAAGTTTTCCATACAAGAGCATGATTTTGTTCAATCAGTTTGTAAGATAAGCAGTATCTTGGAGAGAAAATTATGAATGTAAAATTTCATATTGATATCTCAAAAACTGAGGAACTAATTCGCCTATATATTGACAGACGAACATGA